TTATAGCACCGACCTGGGCATATTCCCACTGCAAAGCCGTACCGCACCGACCTGGGCATATTCCCACTGCAAAGCCGTACTGCACTGACCCGGGCATATTCCCACTGCAAAGCCGTACTGCACTGACCTGGGCATATTCCCACTGCACAGCCATACCGCACCGACCTGGGCATATTCCCACTGCACAGCCTTAGTACTGGCCACTACCTCTCTGGGACACTGGGCCTCACACACTTTCTTCACGCTGTTGCACAAATGAAGGAGCTTCTCGGTGACAGTGTCCTCCGTATCTCACTCACCCGCACCAACAGTGGTGTCATTTTCTCACAGCACTTACCCTTACCTACAGTAAAGACTTTCAAGGAAGTCCTGGACCTCACTCTGTAGACCAGGCTGGCCCTGAACTCACAGATCCACCTGCCCCTGCCTCCCGAGTGCTGGGGTTAAAGGCAGGCACCACCTTACCTGGCCCTAGAATACACTATGTTTGTCTGGCTCCACATTTAGGAAGCAGGTTCTTCTGATGGTTAAGGACTCCTAGTGCCCACAGCAGTGAGCGCATTAGTAACCCATCTCTAACTCACAGTCACTCCCGTGATAAACAAGCTCCCTGCGGAGCTGGGATGTCTGTTTTCTGTGTTGTCCATAAATACTGACTAAATGAGAACACAAGCTGCTTCAGTCTGGGGATGAAAATGAAGTGAACAACATGTCCAGGTGTGGTGGAGAACCCAGCCTGATTTACCTAGGTAGCTCCAGGACTGTCTGTCAGATAAGAACCCTGACTGCTCTTGCAAAAATGCAGTTTAGGTTCTCAGCACGCTGGCCTCAATGATTCCCACTCACCACACACATATTCTCACGCAGGCACACTCACATACACACAGATATAAATAAAGAATGGATAATCTTAAAAAAGAATAAAAATAACCAGTGAATACATATAAATGTGGGTAAGTGCTATTGGCAGGATGAATTCCCACAAGTGTGGTGATCCAGCAGTTAGGAGTTTGGAGCAGGAGAATTACTGTGAGCGTAAGGCCATCCCGGGCTACACTGGGAGTTTCAGGTCAGCTGAGTTGCAGAATGACAACCTGTCTGAAAACAGACGAGCAGAAGTTCCCAGAGTTCCAGCCAACCGGCACGACACTACATAACGAGACGCTCGCAAACACGAGCCTGTCAAAACAACAACCAGCTGTGCGTGTGGCACCCCTTTCATCCCGCACTCTGAGCTGACACGGGCGGATCTCTGTGAATTTGAAGTCAGCCTGTTCTACTAGTGAGTTCTAGGACAGTCAGAGCTATAGAGAGAGAGACCCTATCTCAAACAAACAAACAAAAAACAGGAAAAGAAAAAAGACAAGAAGACAGGATGGGGCTGGAGTGGCTCAGCCATTAAGAGCACTGCCTGCTGTTCCAGAGGTCTTGAGTTCAATTCCCAGCAACCACATAGTGGCTCACAACCATATTTAGTAACATCTGGTGCCCTCTTCTGGCCTGCAGAACACTGTATACATAATGAATAAATAAATCTTTAAAAAAAATTCTTTAAACAAAAAAAGACAGGATGAATGTTTCCAGAACATGTGGCAGCGTGAGAAGAAAAGATTTAATTGTAAAAATAAATCACACTGGGCTGTGTGACATAATCCTAACTCTCGGGAGGCTGAGGCAGGAGGATCATCAGTTTGAGGTGGGCAGGCTAAAGGAGGGGTTATGCAGCAAGTCTCTTTCAGAAATAAAACAGCTGGGTATCAAGGTGTACCTGTTATCCCATAACTCAGGAGGTGGAGACAGAGAGTCACCCCGAGTTCAAGGCCAGCCTTAGCTACAGTGAGATCCTGTTCCAAAAATCTGTAGCACCCTGGACACAAGTACACATAAACAAGGCTAAAGGGCTTCAGCAGATCGTGTGTGTGTGTATGCATGTACACGTAACAACAATAACGAGGAGATAATGTGGGAACAAGACTCAAGGGCTTCAGCAGATCGTGTGTGTGTGTGTGTGTGTGCATGCACACGTAACAACAATAACGAGGAGATAATGTGGGAACAAGACTCAAGGGCTTCAGCAGATCGTGTGTGTGTGTGTGTGTGCATGCACACGTAACAACAATAACGAGATAATGTGGGAACATGGGAGAAGTTGAAGGGGTAGCAGTGCTATAGATACAGGAGTATGAAGTTCTCAAAAAAAAAAATTAGCTGAGGTGGTGGCACACCCCTTTAATCCCAGCACTCTGGAGATAGAAGTAGGCAAATCATTGTGTGTCCCAGGCCAGCCTGGTGTACAAGGTGAGTTCCAGGACAGCCAGAGTAACCCAGTGCAAACTTACTTGAAAAAGTAAAAGTCAGCGGCTGGAGAGCTGGCTCAGCCGTTTTCAGTGCTTGTTGCTCTCGCGGAGGACTAAGGTTCAGTCCCCAGCACATGGTGGCTCACAGCCATCTGTAACTCCAGTTCCAATGGTTCTGACCTCTCTCTGTGTGCACAGGTACGGACATGATGCACACATACACATGCGGGTAGAACATTCACACACACACAATGACGTAAGCCTAACAGAACAACCCAAGGTAGGACTGGCCAGATGTCTCAAGTTCAGTTCTCAGGACCCACGTGGCAGAAGGTAAAAACTGGTTCTTATGTCTTTCATCTCTACACATGAACAGGATTGCACGGTAAGAAAATAAAATGGAGCCTGGAGGTGGTGGCGCACACCTTTAATCCCAGTACTCGGGAGGCAGAGGCAGCAGATCTCTGTGAGTTCGAGGCCAGCCTTGTGTACATAGGGAGTTCCAGGACAGGCTCCAAAGCTACAGAAAAACCCTGTCTCAAGAAGAAAAAGAAAGGGGGGGGGGAGGAAGGAAGGAAGGAAGGAAGGAAATGTAGGTCTCCTAAAAAAAGGGGAGCAGAGGGCTGGAGAGATGGCTCAGAGGTTAAGAGCACTGACTGCTCTTCCAGAGGTCCTGAGTTCAATTCCCAGCAACCACATGGTGGCTCACAGCCATCTGTAATGAGATCTGGTGCCCTCTTCTGGCATGCAAGCATACATGGAAGGAATGTTGTATACATAATAAATAAATCTTTAAAAAAAAAATAAAACTAAAAAGGGGGGCAGAGATGCAGTTCAGCAGCAGAGCACCAAGTATAGCCCGCCCAAGGTCCTAGCTTTGCTCCCAGCACCACGAGGTGCTGCCTCTGTGTGGAGCCTCTAACCTGTGGGACTGTGGTCTCCAGGTTGTAGTGCTTGTTCAGGAACTTAAGCAGCTTTGGTGACGGTCGATCGATGGCCAGCTGGTGTGGTTCAACTCGCTCTTTCTGCAGGAAACCGGAGACTTGGGGGCAGGGGGGTTGAGGGGGAAGCATGCTAGCGGGGAATTGGGAGCCTGGCAAGGGAACACGAGGGAAATGGGCCCCTGTGGGGCAGGCTGCAGGACCTGGCTGGTACCTGTAACATGTACTGAAAGAGCTCTCGCCCGTGACCGTGCCGTTGCACTGACTCGTGGATGTAAAAGTCCAGAATGCAAAGCGGTTCCACCTCGTTGTGCGCTTCACGGTCATCCTATGGCGCCGAGAACAACGCGGCTTCTTAGGAGCCAGGCCTCTTTGTTACCCACCCCACCCCATCCTCCTCCATCAAAGCTTACAAATGCCCAGTTTGCAGCAACACTCACCAGTACAAAGAGTTTCTTGTATCCAACTTTGAGGAAACCAATGATGGCTCCTTTCCCTGCCCTGTGGGACGGGGAGAAGAATGAACGGGCAGTAGCAACTGTCTGGGACAGACAGTAAAGAAAGGAGGACAGCGAGGGATAAGGGGTTGATTCAGGTGGACGAACACTAGAACTCACGGTCGGGCCGAAATATCCTTCAGTATATAGACAACATGGCGGTTACTCTGCATCCTGGAAGCGCTGGTGATGGGTGCAGGGAGATGCTGGGCCTGCAGACATGAAGACACACTCTCTACCGGCCCCTTATCTGCCACCCAGTTTCCCTTTACTCCTGGGGGTGCCCCGTACCTTGGCAGAGGCCTTGCCCAGTTCGTCTATAATAGTCATGATTTGCTGCTGCAGATCCACACTAGAGAGAGAGGGGGCCGGTCAGCTATGCGCCTGGGTCACAGGGCCTGAGGAGTCACTCCTGGCAGCCTCCATGGGCTCTCTGCCTTTGCCTGAACTCGACCTCCCCTCCCACCTCCCCTCCAGGCAGATCCCAAACTGTCAAGATTATTGTGGGGCAGTGGGAAAGGTGGGTCGCCCATAGCCTCAAGGTGAGGCCACATAGGGCCAAGGGGTGAAAGGCTATGGATGCTGGCCGATTAATCCAGCAAGGTTCAGGGTCAAAGGTAACCAAAAACCAAGCTGTGAATGCAGAAAGAATGGCCAGCAGTCAGTGAGAAGGGGGCGTGGTGCCTTGACCAGGTTTGGAAAGGAACCGGGACAGAAGGGCCACGGGGCGGGTTTGAAATGTCACCGGGCCGGCGTTGTGGTTCCGGGTCGGCGGGCCGGAGGCCGCAGGTGCTGGTCCAGCACGGTGATCCGCTCCGGGAACAGCGCATCCACATCGAACGGGAACTCCATGGCCCATTGTGCGGGACCGGACACGCCCCACACAACGTCACTTCCGCTACCAGGAGCGCACACCCTGTCTTTATTTCCAGGACCCGCCTCCAAGGATCGTCCCGCCCCCACAGCGGGGTCCAGCAGCCTAGAAGACCCCATTTGTCTGGCCAAACTGGTGGTCTCCCAGCAACAGGACTCCTCTTGTCGGTCTGTGCCCCTGGTAGAAGCCAGGGCAACCACGCAGATTTCACCGGGACTGGCCCTTGGAGAACAGCTAAGGGGACCCACAAGACAGGATCGTCTTCATGCACCCTTTCCTTGATGGAGTTGCAGGCAGGGTGAGTTTGGCCGAACACACTCCCACCGCACAGCAGCCAGCACCCCAACTCATACACTTCACCCCCATGCTCTGAAAAGTCAGCCCAACGGAAGCCAGGGACAGAAGAGTCAGCTTTATTGTAGAAACGCTGGGCCAGCAGGTTTAAAATAGAGACAGACTTTCAAGTGCACACCAGTCCAGACTCCCGTTCATATCCGAACCCCTCTCCAATTTCTCACGTGTTTGTCCTCTGCAGCAGTCACTTCCTTAGGGTCTCAGACACATGCCATCACAGAACCCAGACACTATCCCTCCCGGCCCATAAGCCCTAAGCACTCTGGGAGCCCGTCTGCTCGGCGGAGGTTTCTGCTGCAGGTGCAGCGGGCACCTGTGGCATCGACTCAGGCGGGGGGCCACTTTCTTCTAGGAGGTTTCCTTGATAGAGCCGGCGAAGGCGGGACAGTTCTCTCTCTGGTGGCTGTTGCCAGCTGTACCACGGGTACCAAGGCTCGCCGGACAACAATGTGGGGGCTGGCGGAGTAACACTGACAGCTCCATGAACAGTTCGGAAGTCACCATCTCGGGGCTCAACCTGGGGAATGTAGTAACTGAGAAGACCTAAGGAATTAAAGGAAATAAGGGAGGATGAAGAAGGGGAATTCAGATCCTGGGACAAGAGAAAGGCACCAGGATGGAGGGACCAACTAAAAGTACCAGGCACATTTCAGGCCAACCACTGCACAACCTGTGGAGGAGACAACAGCACTGCCCGGGCCCCTGCAAAGCTACGTTCAGTCTCTGTACACACTGCTGAAGGGTACTGCTCACTCATCTGTGCAAAGGTGCTGTGTGTCAGCCAGGTCAGAAGACGACAGAATTGAGAACAAAGAACTCAAGACTGTCAGGATTCAGGATACACAGCGTAGAGCCACCAAAAAAACTATTGCTTTCTCTGTGTCACATGGAGTCGGTCCTAGGAAACACTGCTTCCTCCGTGTGAGATGTAGCAGGTCTTAAGAAACACTGCTTCCTCCCTGAGATGTAGCAGGTCCTAGGAAACACTGCTTCCTCCCTGAGATGTAGCAGGTCCTAGGAAACACTGCTTCCTCCCTGAGATGTAGCAGGTCCTAGGAAACACTGCTTCCTCCGTGTGAGATGTAGCAGGTCTTAAGAAACACTGCTTCCTCCCTGAGATGTAGCAGGTCCTAGGAAACACTGCTTCCTCCCTGAGATGTAGCAGGTCCTAGGAAACACTGCTTCCTCCCTGAGATGTAGCAGGTCCTAGGAAACACTGCTTCCTCCCTGAGATGTAGCAGGTCCTAGAAAACACTGCTTCCTCCGGGTGAGATGTAGCAGGTCCTAGGAAACACTGCTTCCTCCGGGTGAGATGTAGCAGGTCCTAGGAAACACTGCTTCCTCCGGGTGAGATGTAGCAGGTCCTAGGAGCCAGCAATCTGCAGCTGGGACTCCAGGCTCCAGCACCACACCCAATTCCGAAGAAACTCCAGGAGTCGGGGGAGCACATAAGCGCCTTCCAGCCCACATCACTGCTACACCTGAGAAGACCTTCCCCCCCTTGCTCTCACTTACCACACTCCCTGGCTTTCTGGATGGCCTGGGTCAGTTTCTTGTGCTGCTTCATACAGACCCCTAGAGACAGCAGAGTTAGCAAAAGTCTTCTATACAGAGACAGCTAGCTGACTGTGGAGGAGCTGGCTTTAAATGACCCGACCTTCCTGCACAGCCAGTTTCCCATCGGCCTCATCTGTAGCTGCCTGAAAAGACGAGCTCAGATGACCAGCCCTATAGAGATGTCACTGAGAAAGCCTGCAGACAGGCCAGATGATGATTCAATGGACAAGTGGCTAAAGGCTTCCTTGGACAGTCCACAGAGAAAGATCCCATAAGGGAAGAAGTGATTTCAAATCAGGGAATGCGGTCAGAGTAGCAATGATCAGCCTATCTCCTCTCCATTCTGGAGACTGATAGTAAAATCTTCCTCACAAAGGACCTAATTCTGGGGCCATGTTCTCCCATAAACAGTGAGCTCAGATTATTCTTGTCCTTCCTTCTCTTTCTATGATGTGTGACACTCAACTTGGCTACTGTTGCTTGGAAGCAGCTATGGACTACATGAGAAACTGGACATGGCTACAGGCCAACAGGGAGTAAAAGTAGAGACAATCCCGAACTGTTATTTTAGTTGTTTTTGTTGTCCCTTCTGGGTTATCTGTTTCTGTCAGGCTGTCTTGGAACGCACACTAAGTGGACCAGGCTGCCTCTGCCTCCACCGTCCCAGGGCTGGGCTCACCTGAGTCTTTTGAGCACACATAACTATTCCAGCCTAATGAGTATCCTCATTAGTACAATCTCCAAAAGCTGCAACCACACTTCTGTGCGCTACATATACGAGCTACCGCACACCTACCACCCAACAACATAAACAGGAGCGCCAAGCTAACCTGTGTACGGGGCGTGGAAGATGATACCCGTGTGGGCACAAACGAACTGTTCCAAGAGTTTCACATTCTGCATGGGAGAGATGAACAGACACGTGAGGAGGTGGTCTGGAGGCTGCGTGCAGACACCTTACACACCTACAGTTGCTACATCCCAGCACTTAGGAGCAGAGCAAAGTGGCTCTCTGAGAGTTCGAGGCCAGCCCCATAGCTGCCCTGTGTGTCTCTTGATGCTTCCTTCAGTTTTAGCCTCATCAATTCATTTCACATAAAAGCTGACATTCTGGCACTCAGGTATGGAGAAGCATGCTTCAAAATGTACACCTTTGGGTAAAAAATTGGGGACAGTCATCAAGGTCCTAGAAATTACCCAGAAACAACAAGACGGGTATGTAATGAGTAAGCAATACAATAGCATGCCGAATATAGTGAATAAAATACAGCATGTAGCTAGGAGCAATTTAACAATTCTAATTGTATAAAACCAGGCAAACCAATCACAGGAGGTGAGCAGAGAAGAAGCAGACACACCTACCAGCATGCCCAGCCTAATCCCTGCCTCCTTTTCCTAACCTCCTGCATACAAGAGACTGGGAAGCATCCTCTGTGATGCTCTGGAAGGACATGAACCTCATCAACAGACATCCAGGATCCCCAGCATCCTCAATGCGCAGTCATTGCTTTGGCTCCCATGAGCACCTATATGGTGGTGGAGCACGCCTTTATAATCTCAGCACTCAGGAGGCAGAGGCAGGCGATCTCTGAGTTTGAGGCCAGCCTGGTCTACAGAGTGAGTTCCAGGACAGTCTCCAGAGCTATGCAGAGAAACCCTGTCTTGAAAAACAAAACAGGGCAGTGGCGCACGCCTTTAATCCCAGTACTTGGGAGGCAGAGGCAGGCGGATATTTGTGAGTTCGAGGCCAGCCTGGTCTACAGGGAGAGTTCCAGGACAGGCTCCAAAGCTACAGAGAAACCCTGTTTTAAAAAAACCAACCAACCAAAAACACCAGGCCTTATCATTTTGAAGTGGGGAGGGGAGAGGAAATCTCCTCTCACCTGTGCTCTAGCCCTAGGCCCCAGCATCTCACACGGGAGGCCAAGCAAACAGCTAAGCAAGTAGACAACCCGAGAACTCAGCCTGCTGAGCCAGGAGGACAGTGAGCTGAGCTCAGGTTGGGCCATATAAACAGACCCTTTCTCAAAAGAGGAAAACGGAGGAACGTTCCTCACCCCCTCTGCCCCCAAAGAGGGCAATATATCTGTTAATAACTGTAGTAGGTAGATAGGGCACTTTCCCTTGAACCCCTCCTGACTTTGGAAGTTTTTTTCAAGTTAAGTTCTTTCCCTTAAAATAACAAGTTGACCTCTGAGCTAGGTGTGGCATCATCACACACTAGCACACACCCTTACTCATAGCCCTTAGGAAGGCAGGAGGACCAGAAGTTTAGCTGTGGGGCTGGAGATGCCTTTGTGGTTAATAGCACTGACTGCTCTTCCAGAGGACGCGGGTTCAAATCCCAGCACCCATATGGCAACTCACAACTGTCTGTAACTAGAGTTCTAAGAAATCTAACACCTTCATGCAGATATGGATGTAGGCAAAACACCAAGATACATAAAATTAAAGAAAATCTTTTTAAAAAAATTAGCTACATAGCTAACAAGTCCGAGGCCACTTGGGATACTTAGACTTTTGTAACTGGTGGGGTAGGGGATGACAGAGCCTGAACTTGGAACTCATACTTCGGCTTTAGCCTTGCCAGTGTGGGATCACAGACATGCTAACCAAATCTGCTTTCAAATACATGTCTTTCTGTTTGTTTTCTAAGACAGGTTTTTCTATGTAGCCCAGCCTGTTCTCAAACTCAGAAAAATCTGCTGGCCTTTGCCTCCTTAGTGCTGGGATTAAAAGCCTGCATCATTGAGTCCAGCTCAAATGTGTGTGTTTTTTTGTTTTGTTTTGAGAAAGAGTTTCTCTTTAGCTTTGGAGCCTGTCCTGGAACTAGTTCTGTAAACCAGGCTGACCTCAAACTCACAGATCACAGAGATCTGCCTACTTCTGCCTCCCTAGTGCTGGGATTAAAGGAGTGAGCCACCATCTACCGGCAAATGTGTTTTTCTTTTCTTTTTTTCTTTTTCTGAATTTTTTCGAGACAGGGTTTCTCCGTAGCTTTTTTGGTTCCTGTCCTGGAACTAGCTCTTGTAGACCAGGCTGGCCTTGAACTCAGAGATCCGCTTGCCTCTGTCTCCCGAGTGCTGGGATTAAAGGCGGGTGCCACCACCACCCAGCTCAAATGTGTTTTTCTTACTCAGAATTTAGACTATGAATTTTAAGAGAGTGAACTAAATCCTCATAAGGAACTCCACAGCAGAGGGTGAAAGCCTGTAAAGAGGGGTGTTTTTACAATGGCAGCGTTGGGACTGTGAGCATACAGGTACGAAAACATGGGAGACACATCCTGATAATTTCCTTAGCACTGCAGAGAGGATCCAAGTCTCAATTCTGGATAAAAGATTCTGCTTACCCTAAAGTCAACATGCAACTTGTGATCGCGGCAGATGGGGCAAGGGTTCCCAGCAACTTTATTTTTACGCTGTAGAAAAGAAACTGGTAGTTAAAGACACAAAACATAGTCACAGAAAGGACCGATGTCACCCACCCTATGGCCTCCTTGTCACATCCCACCACCATGAAAACCTTAAAATCTTACAATGCATGTCTTTCGGGTCCGCTGTGGCGGTATACCACCTTTGTGGTTGCGGCGGTAGTCAGCCCACACAGGTCGAGAACCGTAGCGGTCCTGGTATTCTTAAAAAGAAACCATATGAGTTTATTCATTCATGCAAGTGGCATGGATCTTCCCAAGCCAGTTACTCCAGGCCCCACTTTTTCTCGCTTCCCCCCAATCTGGGGTACCTTCTGATTCCAGGTATTTCCAAGGCTCATTCTCATAAGGGGACACAGGAAGTGAGGATGGAGAACCTTCTTCCGGAGGATCTTTAGTGCAAAGTGCCCGGAGGGGAACCTATAAAGGGAGTCAAATGAGAGGGTGAGTTAAGAAAAGGATGTAACTATTTAGTTTATTATTCTTCGGGGAGGAGGGATATGTGTCCAAAACATCAGAATAATTCATCAGAAAGAGACCTGACTGGAGCATTTCTTCTGGTGTTAAACTGATACCTCTCTAGCTCCAATAACAAGTCAACCAGACAAAGGAATAATCAGGGTGTTAGGGGGGTGGCAAACAAAGATCTGTGCTTGATGGGCATTAGTTGGATCTGGTGAAGAGAGAAAAGATTGCTAACCTTTCGGAAATAAGATTTATGGAGCGCAAGGGATGCATCAGACAAGGGAGAAAAAGCCAAAGGCACTGTGTTGCCCAGTTTTAGAAAATGCTGCAGGTCAGCATTCCACAGGGCAAAACAAAATCTGAGTGCTAACGCCAGCTTGAACGCTACCAAGCCTGTTATTACTGCGGTTGTGACCTCTGTCACCACTCTTTAGTCCTACTTTAAGGAGCGTCGTCGCGACAAGCCTTCAAGCTATTTTTCCCTGCCCTGCAAGAACCTCCAGGGAGGTGAGTACCTTAGCCTAGAGGGCAACTTCGATCCAGGGAGCAGAATTAAACGCTCCTGCAAGCTCTTGTAAGAAAATGACGTGTTAGCAGGTGGGGTAGGGAGTCGTGGATCACGCCTCAGCTGCGGAGTGAAGGCAGAAAGATCAGGAATTCAAGGTCACTTTAAGAGGTCAACCTGTCTACCTGGGCGGAGTGAGAGTTTCCGGAATACCGGGGGGCGGGGGGAATTAAAATTAGGATCCTTTGATACGAGGACACTTCCAACAACAAAGTTAGAAATTAGTTGTGCATGTCCGGGAGCAATCCAATCACCTCATCCTCTGTCTGGTACTTAGGGAAGACGACTTGTAACCCAGGATCTTCCCCTAAGGCTCAGTAGTAGGAAACGCGCGCCATGGGGGACAGAGGGTGGTGCAGGACGGAGACGTAAACAGACGGGAAGAGCTGTGCGCCTTGAGTCCTCCCCGCGGGGCGAAGGCGGAAACGCGCAGACAGCGTGGGGATGCGGAGAAAGCCCTCCGAGGGGTTACCTGCACGCCATAAGAACTTCGCAAGAGGTTAGGCAACAGCCTCAGCAGCGTGCGCGGCACGGAGGCAGCCATCTTGACGCACGGCCGGCGTACGGCCGGCCCGAAGGCGGAGCGACTGCGCATGTGCGGAGCCTGGCTAGGGCGGGGCCGAGGCGGAGGCTCGCAATGCGGAAGCCGGTGCTCACGTGCGTCAGGACGGAAGCGTCGGAGGGCGGGGCCGGCAGAGGAGTCACGCGAATTTGAGCTGCGTCACAATCGAAGCAGCCGTCGAAATTGATTTTCGCCCGGACCGGTCACGGTGACTCATAGATGCCATGCCTAGCGTATGACCCAGAAGGAGTTTCGAGGGCGATTTGGGCCGGGCCGCTCTCAGTGCGCACGCGCCGGGTCGCGCCGACCAACCCGGGGTGAGGCTCGTCCTCCGGGGCGGAAGTGGTGGCGGCGGGGAAGAGGGCGGCGCCGGACGCGGCGGTCACGCGCTGGCGCGGAGGGCACTGAAGGAGACGGAAGTGGGGGGAGCAACGAGGGCCGGGGCTTCCCGAAGGCTGAGGGGCGGCGTCCAATCGGCGGGCGGCCTGGCCCTCGCGGTGGCCAATCAGCCTCCGCCTCGCGCTCGATGCCTCGCGCCGAGGGCGTTTCTCCATCACGTTAGGGTGCGTTGGGCGGCGGCCGGGTATAAAAGACTCCGCCCGAGCGGGCGGCCGCCATTCTGGGGTTCGTTTAGAGGTAAGTTTGGGTGCTCCGTCGCTTGGACGGTAACGTTTTTTTCCGAGGACGGGCGGCCCGGGGAAGCGGAGAGGGGATGGATTTATTCGGCAGCCGCGCTCTGCCGAGTGCCGCTGCGTTCTGGGACGACGAGTAATGGCACGTGGGGATGTTTTAAGGCGACCCGTACTGATTACACCTTTCTCCTTTTGTGTTCTTTTTTTTACCCCAGGTTGAATTTTCTCGGAGAAAGACAGGCCGGCCATCAGGAAAACAAACAAGCCTCCGCAACGTCTTAAGCCCATGAAAGGATCCTGAGAGAGGGGGGAAAGGGAAAAGAGCAGCCACCAGCCCAACCACTTGTGTCTTCTACCCCTTCCCACCTATTTGCCCACCCCACCAGCCCACGCTGCTTGGGACTTGAGATCTGTGGCCGAAGGACCGTCACCACATAACTGCAAAAAAACCACCCTCCCCGCCCAAACCCACCCAATCTCACTCATCCAGCATTTCCTTTTTGGAATCCACTCAGGATTTTTTTCAACGACCCCCCCTCCCTAAATGGAGTTGGGTGGGGGGAATGTGAATACTGAGTTGGTCTTTACTTTTTTAAGAGACTTTTTGATCCAATGAGGCCCCCCAAGTAATTGAGTTTGGGTCCTGGTTGGTTGTTTTGGTTTTTTTTCCTCCAAAATTTTACCCCTCCCCCCCTGAGCCCGTGGTGCTGACGTCGCAAAAAAATTGGATAGTAAGTGTCGAATTTTCAAAAACCAGCCTTGCAACAAGAAATCAACGTTTCCCGTTGTGAAACCAAAAATAATGAGAGGAAGCAATGAGACCATAGAACAAATGTATTGTACTGGAGAAGGACCAATCGGGTCTCTTTTAAGTCTCCATTAAAAAGGTCCTGTGGGTCTAAACAGTCTTTGCTCTCTCCCCTACCACCTGCCTCTTCCCTGCTGTGGAGCAGGCAAGGAGAGGGTGAAGGGAGGGCCAGCAAGTGAGGATATTGACGGTTAACCCTTGATAATCCAGCAAATTTCCAGACTGCCAAAGCATAAGCCTTTGCTATTATAAGGAGGAATGGTTACCTTCCTCTGGTTAGCAGTCTTCAAAAGGGTTAATGAGCTCACATACAAAAGATGGTGGATCTTGTGGCCCAGAAGTCCCACTTCTTTGTGTGTGAGACAAGCAGAGCGCCTTTCAATTTGCCAGATTAATAAGCAATCTGTACATAAAGATTGCAGGGTAAGGAGATGGGCAGAGAAGTATTAGCTATGTCTTTTAAAGTGATGGTTAAATCCTCTCAATTTTAATGTAATTTGCTTGGGGTATATTGTATGGTTAAAATAGGTGGCAATCTAGGAATAAAGATTGCAAGACACTTAAATTTAGGGCAAAATAATCTTAGTATCAAGTACATACAATATAACATTTGGGGAGGTAAAGAATGTCTTGTAATTGTTTCAGATTGCATAGGTTTTTTAAAGGCAAAAGTGATTTAACATTTGAACTTGATACTTTTTAGTGGTTCGTGGATACAGTTAAGAGGGTGGAAAGGTTGGGGATGTGAAAGCTCAGAAGTATAATTTTAAAAAGCCATTAGTGCAATTGAATGCTAGCTTTCTAGATTTGTGTCGTTAAAAAGAGTTTTTTTCTTCCCTGCTTCAAATATGGCGACTTTTCCTTGTCCTTTTGTCTTCCAAGCGGCGTTGCAGGTTGTGTCTTGACCCCTTTTTCTCCTGTCCTCCCACCTGAACCCTATTTGTTGAGGGGTCCAAGTCCTCCCCCTTTCCGGTTATAGGGAGGATCGGGGTGGTCGGCGGTAGTAGCAAATTGAACTTCAATTGCAAATTCAAATTCTTAACCCGCAGAAAATTGTATATTAATTGATTTTACTTTCAGTAAACTCTTTTAAACTGAATTCAAGTAGGTCAGATTGAGGATGGGGGCGGAGGTATGGCTTCTGTTTTTTTATTTAGTGCTTTATAGTGTAAGTAAAGCTACCGGCAGATCCGGATGGCTTTTTAAATTTTGAGTCGTCCTCTCCATAACAAAATGGCGTCCCTCTCCTTTGTTTTTCTCTTTTGCCAGTCAGCTTAGGGCTGTCCTAGAAACTTGGTCAAGGGGGAGGAGCCACTTTGAAAGGTGATGTAATCAGCTTGCTTCCTCTGAAAACTCCACCCCCGAGCAGTTGCTTTCTCTCCCTGTGCAGACTGCTGCTGGGGAGAATACGCTTTTCGTTTCTCTTATCTCTTATGGAGTATCTTATAGGGATAAGAACTTACTGTTCTAATCGTGAAGTTATAGTTTGTGTGTTTAACAATCAGCCCATTGCTTTTATTTTCACCTACTCATCACAAGCTTGGACATGCACCTTGCTTCATTCAATTGACAGGTGTGAAAAACTAAACTCAAACTGTGCTTTAGGGTTGGGAGACTGGGGCAAGACACAGGTCTTGTAACTGGAGTAGACAATTGGGCCTGCTGGAGCTGGAATGTGCCATTCTGCTCAAAGCCCTTGTGCTTCCGAATGTCTGGGGGAGGGTTGGTACTTGTAGGATTTCTTATAAATCATCCTTATTCTCACCTCTCAGTTTGGGAATAAACTCTTTGTGCTCAGTGCCATCACCTCTGCAGTTGCTTAGTTCCCGTATGTTGGCACTAGGATGAGAAGTGAATCTTTAGGAAAGGAGGCTGCAGTTGTAAACTCGAGGCAGGGGGAGTCAAGCTACGGTTTCTGGTAAGCAAAACATTTCTGGTATTACATTTCACAACCTTTCTTTTTTCCAAAGAGCCACCTTTTTGAATTTCTTTTTCCTTCCTTTCTAAAAAGAAATTCCCTTAAATCATTGAGGAAGAGAATGTCCTCTTGGTCTCCTCCCTGGTCAGTGCTGTGGCAGTCGGTGCATGAAAAGCCACACCCTTGAGGGTGGTATTGGGTGTCTGGTTCTTTTACCTCTTTTCCCCAACTTTTCAAAGTCAAGTCTTTGACAGTTTCTTCTTAAAGTTTTCATTTTTGTATTTAAGTCCTGTATTGGAGTGTGGAGTTTTTAGGCAGAGTTTGTAAGCCTTTTGTCCTGTCCTATGGTGACTTGGGTGCTGTAACAGGGCTCATTTCCTGCTGTCTGGGGATTCTCATTATTACTTGGACTTCTGATTGAATGGGAAGGCCTCTTCCATATGTCTATTTACCACACGTCTTTTTTATCTTTTAAGCAGTTTGCCAGGTGTTTCTGCAGCATATCTACCCTGGGAGCTGAACATTCCAGCCACTGGGGCTCCCGACCGCTAGTGAGCAGGGGATTAGTAAAGAAGACCTTCCTTGCATGGGAGATGAAAAGCAAGGCTTTAGGGGGAAGCCTGATTCTTAGGGCGTGGCCAGAGTTCTATTTGAGGGGCTTTCCCTGAGGGTTAGGGTGGTGGACATAATTTTACATCTTTATTGAAAGCCAAGTCATCTTCCTGGGACCAGGATTACCTGGTTTTAAGAATAACGATGAGGGAGGAGTAGGGCCTTACTGTGCAGAGGTATAAAATCTGAACCACCTGAGACAGTCCACTCTACTACTGGGTCACACCAGGCAGCTCTTGAGACACTGAGGGAAGAAGCAAGGCATTTTGCTCTATGGGGTGCTCAGGTCCCAGCAAAGAAGAACTGGCAATTCTTTGTCCTCTGACAGAAGACCTATTTAAAGCACCCTGGCTTGCATGGGCCTTGTTTCCTGAACTAATTCAGGATTCAGCGGTGCTAGATGTTTAGTGACCAGCCAGTCTGGATGCTTTTCTACCTTTTTAAACCAAATAAGTCAAATTCAGAATTTGATATCTCTAGTAAGAACTGTAGAATGTTCCCCAGTGCTCCGAAGACGGAGGTACATCACGGACTTCCTTCCCTTGTCTCCTTTTGTCTGTGGCCTTCAAGGAGAATAGCAACTGGATAAAAACAAAACAAAACCATGACCTGAGTTCTTTATGGCTACAGAAAGTTTCCTCGGCTTCAAACTGCAGAGCAGGCGTGGGGAGTGCTTGGGCACAGTCCCTGCCCACTCTGGTCAATGCCGCTTTGGGCCTTCAATGTAGGCCTGTTCCAAGCATGATGGATTCTTCCTTTGTTCCTATTGGAAGACCTTACAGCTTGCCTGTGAAAATGGGGACCTGGTTGTAAGGTACTCGGGGGTCCCTGATAAGGAATGAATACCACTGAGGACAAGGCACAAAGAAAATGCACATTTTACTGTGAGGAGACAAGTTCAGTCATCCAGATGTAACAACAGCGGGAATAACCATGCATCTTAGCATGTTTGTTTTGTCTCCCAGCTTCCCTTACTGTTGTGCCTTTTTGTTTATACAGACAGGAATTTACAGTACCTAGGTCCCGTTTCCATCAGAGGGCACTAGACAGCTCAGCTTTGTTT